CCAGAAGGGAGTTTTTAACTGAATGAAAATCATGGAACTGAATGGAACTGAGACCACAATACAGCAACTCGAAGGACGGAGCTAAGGCAGGCCCAGGAGGTAAACGCACAGCAGAAGAGGGAAAGCTCAGACCAACAGTCCCCGCAGGCTCAGCAGCCGGGTGCGTGCAGGCGGCAACCAATCTCTCTCTCGCACATCAACGTTTCCCTGTCTCTCCCTTCCCTTCCACTCCCTCTAAAGGTCAATGGGAAAATACCCTTGAGTGAGAAGAATTAACCAAAAAATTTTTCAAAATAAATAAAATCACCAATAACCGAACCTTTTAAGAATATACATATATATGTAAATAACATGTATATAAAATATATACATATACATACATACGTATTATTTCAGAGTGGAAAGAAGAGGGAGAGAGAGAAACATCAGTGATGAGAGTGAATCAGGAATTGACTGCCTCCTCCTGCAGGCTCCTCACTGGGGATGGAGCCCACAACCCGGGCCTGTGCCCTGACTGGGAATGGAACCGTGACCTCCTGGTTCCTAGGTCGACGCTCAACCACAGCCATGCCGGCTGGGCGACAGATAACCCAACTTTTAAATGGACAAAGGACCAGAATACACATTTCCCCAGAGAACACACACACAGGTGCTCCCTGCACCCGCCACTAGGGAACTGTAGGCCTCAAAGCCAAATGAAACACCATTCAGTGACAAGGACGGATCTCGAACCAGAAAAGCTCCACAGCAAGAACAATCCACACAGCCCGTGGGCAGGGACACCAGGCGTGGGTCACGGAAGAGGACACACGTGGCCAACAAGCAGGAGGAGAGCGTCCCGCCAGGAGCGGCAGGAACTGAAGTCCACATGGCCGTGGCCCTGCGTGCGTCTCCGAAGGGCTCCAGTCAAAACAGCAGCAGCACCAGGAAACGAGATGACTCCCACGGGCTGTGGGTGTGAACGAACACGGCTCCCGGAGAGTTTACTTCTTTAAACACTAACCACGCAACGACGACAGAACCGAAACCACACGCGGGCACCTCCCCAGAGGAACGAGACTCACGTTTGCACAGAAACTGTGCACAGGCGTGCAGAGCCCCGTTATTCCCGGCGGCCCAGCCGGGGCGGTCCGAGGCTCTCCCACGGGTGAGCGTGGAGGAGGCACACGCTCCGCCCCTCCACGGAGACCGCCGCCAGCACCACATCTGGGCGAACCTCCGGAGAACAATGTGGAGGGAACCGGCCAGGACAACGCTACAGACATGACGTTCTTGAAATGGCGACATGACAGCCGGCACCCGGGCAGTGGCTGCCAGGGACGGACAGCCTCCCGCCGGCTGGGACACAGCTAGTTCTGCAGGCTGTGACCCTGGAGGACACAGGGACGGACCGCGGGATCGCTGCTGTTTCCGGCCACTGTGCCCTGAAAGCCTTTACAGGGGCACCGGTTAAGAATGCGGGTTCTCTCAATAGCTGGAGTTACACATATGTTGATATATATGCGATTTGATACGTGTGCTATTTTGCTGTATTGACAACAAGCTTCAAAGCTTCATATGTCAAATTTGCTGAAGGTGTTAACATCATAGATGTTTTTACACTTAAAAATGTCGAATTTTGTGACAAAAAAAGAGCATTTGTGGGTAGTTTTAATTCATTATTTTGAAGAAA